ATCACGGAACGTCACAGAGTCCCCAAGTGACGTCAAGTCAGTCTCTGTTATGATTTCACATCATTCGAGTGTGCTTAAGTGCTTTTGCTCTAAAACTGTACTCAAATCGTTAGAAATGGCTTCCAAGCACCCATCAAGTCCTACTGATGCTAGTGTAGTGAAGAGGCAACGTAAGACCATTACCCTTGCTACGAAAATGGATATATTAACCCGATTTGAAAAAGGGGAACGTGCTGTGGACATAGCCGCTGTGCCTGGTCTAACCCCCACAATGGTGCGTACTATCTGGATCAATGCTGACAAGATTAAGGTCAGTGCTGGAAGTGGTTCTTCTCTGAGTGCTACTAAGACGACGCGTACTAGAAGCACTGTGATAGAGAAGATGGAAAAGATGCTAGCAATGTGGCTGGAGGACCAGAATCAACGCAATGTCCCTGTGAGCCTTATGGTTATCCAGCATAAGGCCAGATCCTTGTTTGACGACATGAAGGAAATAGAGGGTGAAGGATCGAAGGAAGAGACCTTTACGGCCAGCCGAGGCTGGTTTCAACGATTTAAGCGTCGGTATAACTTCCACAAAATATAGATGCTTGGTGAAGCTGCCAGTTCAGATACGGTTGCTGCCGAGACATTCCCGCCAACAACGGAGGAGGAGCAAGCAGCGGCGGAGGAACTCCAGTCAGAGCAGGTGAAGGGAGCCGCAGCCGCAGTAACTCGCCACCCTCCTCCTCTGCTCCCACCCTCCTCCTCCACTACCGCCATCCTCCTCCTCCTTCGCTCCACCACCTCCACCCATCGGTGAGTACCAATACGAACTTTGTACTGTACTGTAGTTCTATATACTATTTTCTATAGAAATGGCAATGATTTTCTGCATTTGTAACTTTTTTCATGGGGCAAAGGGAGGCTGGGGAACATAACTCACGTATTTTATCTATTTCTTATGGGGAAAATTGATCCACTTAATGTTGTTTCGCATAGTCGCATTTTCAGGAACGTAATCCTGACATTAAGCGAGGAAGCCCTGTATACCGTTTCACCTACCGCAGCATTGACTTTCAAGTATCTGCAGTTTAGCGCATTATCATTTTCCCTCCGTGTTCCAGCCTCCCACCACTGCTTTCTCAGAACAGTATTGTGATCTCGTACTGTGCACGCATATTTTACTGCTCCGTACAATGGATATTTATTATATATTTTCTACCATACCATCATTGATTTTTGCCTTTAACTATGGCCTCTAAGTGTGCAATGAGTGTTAGTGATAAAGGTGAGAAGAAAGTGAAGAGGGCAAGGCACCTAATGACTCTGGAAACTCTGGAAAAGAAAGTTGGAGTGCTCAATAGAGTAGCGTTTGGAACCTAACCTATTTCCTATATGCCTTTAGTCTAACCAACCGCGGATTTGCCAACCACGAGGTTTTCCAGGAATCTAACCCCCGTGGTTGGCGAGGAACTACTGTATTTTATTTTATTTAAAAAGGTTAATATATAAAAAAAATATCAACTTCAAAAGTTGAGGGCATAGGAAAAGAGATAAAAGTCAAAATTTGTCATTATCAATACATGGTGTTGGATAAAGCCTGCATGGTAAGGCAGGGCGGTAAAGAGAATAGCCCCCATTTCTACAGCCCTTACTGCTAATAAAGCAAATGAAGACAAATTGTAAGACATCAACATCAATTACAGCCTAAAGCACTATACAGTACAGTATTAAGATCAGCTCATTCTATGCTTCATTTCCTAAAACTTGCTGGGTTAAGGAGCACAAAGACAAGGCTAATCAATGTGTATGTATAACAGTGGTTGGACTCAAAAGGTGACCAAACTGATGGCCTATTGTCTCACTGTTGGCAACTCTTAGGTTGAACAGACTATAGAGGACCATCTTAGGGAGAAATTTCCAAATTGTCAAAAGGAGTCCACATACCAGAGCCTGTGACCCTGATCTGACCTACCACAGATTTCATCTGGTCCTCAGATGAGGCAAGTTAATTGGTGAAACCACTAGTTAGTAGTTACCCCAACTCAGTGAACTGCATATTCCTGAAAACTATCAGGTAAAAACAGAAGCTAATGAGATGATATATGAAGCCAAATCAGCTTCTTTTATTTCAAGCTTCACCATAAAAGCATGAAAGCTGACTTAAATTTTTTTTCTCTTGGACTGCTCAGTGATTTGAAATTTTGTATGTGATCCTCTTCTTGAAGGAAACCCCTGCTATAGACTATGATAAAAATTAGCTCAGCTGGTCGTAAGATATAAAAGACCACACAAAGGACCGACAAACAACAAAAACAGGTGGTGGATACTGTAGTTGTTACATGAGCTTTGCCTTGAACGGTGGGATGGTGGTCAGATGGAAAACTTTCCAAATAAGATTTCTGTATGAATAATTAACAACAATGACTTTATTGCCATGAAAATTTGTTAAAATTTTGGGATAAATCCATGTAACACGGGCAGTAAGATTAAAAGAAAATCTCCAGACACTTAAGTTACACACCCACTTTTTCAATCTTTAAGATGTATAACTCCAAATTTGAAAGGACAACAGCTTACAAAGTAATGACTATAATCAAAAGTATTACCTGTTTAAATCAAATGTACCTGTACAGTCTCGTTCAAGATTCTTCGAACACTGCTGGAGACAGCTGGCAACTCAAGGCCGTTTGTTTACTATAGAACGTAGTAAAAATTATGAATAAATGTAAAAGTGATCAGTGATTGGTTACTTAGTTTCCCGTTGCTTAATTTAAAGGTTGGGCTTTGTTGTTTCATATTATATTATACTGTACTACGTACTATACTAAATAAGCGGCCTTGAGTTGCCAGCTGTCTCCAGCAGTGTTCGAAGAATCTTGAATGAGACTGTACATATAAAGGAATACAGTATTATATTAAATAAGGCAATAAACACACAAGCATGCAAGTACACACACAAACATGAACACTATATCCTCACACTCTCTGAGTTGGGAGAATAAAATGAACACAATGTTTATTATATACCATTTCATAACAAGGGAGGGATAAGATGCAACCCCAAAGATTGTCATTAATTATATGAACGAGCACTTGTAAGGCCATCTAATCAATGTAACAGAGGATTACTGATAAATCAAGCAACTATGCTGATGATGATTGAACAAAGCCCACTACTAGTCAGGCCTTTGGACAGCCAGTTCTGCTCTGTTATCTCACCTTACACTATAAACTTCCTTAGTCTTACTTAATAAGTCACAAACCCAGTTCAATCTCCACATTCTATATACTAAGGGGAAGATGGCTGGTTTGGATCATGCCTTCATCACTCCCCAGCCATATTATGGGGCTTCATAAACTTCATTCATTCTTTGTAGCTAACCTGACCCATGAGGGTATTAGGAAAATTTTGGAGTGAGAGACTTGCCTTGTAAAACCCTGAGGGCTAAACATAGATGCATGCTTAGTACAGTATAACTATGGGCAAGTTTCTTTATGCCAATTGCTTCTGTCTACCCAGCAGTAATTGGGGACCTGGATGTTAATCGATTTGCGGATCGTGATCCGGGTTAATGGTTAGCCACTGCAGTTGACGAGTTGCCCGGTCTTCTCGGACTATTACTTGACACTGGGTCATGCAACTCGTTAACTTAGGGTGTGGTTGTTGTGTCGGCAACAGCTTCTACACCTTAGACAAATTCACGCCTAGGTGGCCCTAGAGACAACCATTATTATTAACTCTGAAATATCTCTAGATAAAGATTTATACAGCTGGCCAGAGGTCTCTTTTCATGAACTCTGTGATCCTATTGTGCATTTAGCCTTGGGGGATAATAATCAGGCCTTATAAATCCTAAACATCAGCAAATGTACTTCAACAATTGATTTTTCTTGCGAGTAATAAACACTCAAGTTTCATATAAGGAGAAAAAATTAATTGCCTGCACATGATCAATAAGCCTGATGTAAGAGATATAACCTCAATAAATAAATAAATGTGCAGTATGTGTATTTAATTTCCTATATTTTTATCACACACGCACACAACACACAACTATACTGCTCTTAAGCGGAGATTAATTGATTTATTCTTATCAGAGTTTATAAGGCAAACTCTACCTGGATTGAGTACATCATTCCTTCTCCACATTTTTTCCCAGCCAAATACTGTACTATACAGTATACAGTACCCAAATTTTAACTGGTTTTCTTATGACCCAGGACAAGGAGACAGGAGGAGGAATCGAATTTATGAAAGGGAGCTCTAATACCAACAAAAGGTGTCAATAACGCACCATGTTTAGGAAGTGTGGAAATAAACATTGTTTTGATTTTTTTCAAGTGAATTATTCTTGTCTTTGTTATCTGTCTGCAGGGTGCAGATGATTTCTAGAGGAAAAGGCTTTCAAAATATTTTAGTTTTCAAACAATGTGTCTGACCTTTATGACCAAACCGAGTCTCTTGAGAAAAATAGATATTCTTGTTGAGACACACGAAGAAGAAATCTTACAGACCCTGGTTTGTTAAGGCAAAATGATGCTACACTGTTGTCTACTAAAATTTGTTGTAATGCCTCATAGGAAACTGTTTGCAGATATTGAGTTTAATCAATAGGTACAGCTAAAATATGGCCACAGAAGTGGGGTCTCTTGATGGGTGGATAACACTGGAATGTGGAGGTTGAACTGAAATCATAATTTGTTAATTATGGCTAAGAAGGTTCATATCTTAGTTTGGGTTAAGACATTAAAGACTTGAGTAATGCACAGGCTCTTCAATGCAGCCAGTTCAAGATACAGTCATTCAAACTGCACTGGTGCAGTTGATAATGATGTTACCTCTATTACAGTAGGTATATATTACATGACTCGACAGATAACATTTATGAAGAGTGAATGACCATCTCCCTGGTCATGTCTGATATGCTATACCAGCCATGAATGGATACATTAATTCTACTACAGAATATAATGTATATAAATATGACAAACACAAATTTTTAAGGTTAGCTAACCTTCCCTGGGTACTTGTGAGTTAGCTAACGGTACAGACATGAAAAACAGAGAGCAGTATAAGATACATATATGTTTATATATAAAAAGAGTCCAAAGGTTGAGAAGCCACCTGGTCTCATAATGAGTACAGTATATATATATATATATATATATATATATATATATATATATATATATATATATATATATATATATATATATATATATATATATATATATATATATATATATATATTACCTCTTCCCACTGCTATTAAATATACCATATGTAGACAGCTGGACACCTTGGATATCTACAATACTGTACAGTGAAGGAATACAATGGTTATCCTACACATTTTCAGAGATATCACATGCACAAACTTTGCAAGTTAACCTACAGTACTAACAGACAGAATGACAGCACATGCTAGAACAATACTGCCAGGGCTTATTTGACAAGCTTAAGTAAATTGAAAAAAAAAATATTAATAATAATAATACACTGTATAATTAGATCTAATAACTGATTGGATGTCTGCTCAAAACGATTTGGCCATAATTACTTGGGACACATATTTGTGAACCAAATGAAATGTGTTTTGCAGTAAAATGGCAAGCACAATGTTGTTGTTCTTCTTCTTCTTAAAAGAAGTAGGAGGAGGAGGAGGAGGAGGAGGAAAGAATAAGATAAATATTATGTTCCATTTAATGGCTGATATAAATGACCAGTAACATTCCAGCATACTGAACACCCCATGACAGAGCCCAATAGGTGTCATAGTATGACCGATCTGAGCAGGATGCTTTATTCACATAATAAATGAAATTAATGCAAAGCAGCTCTTCAACCAGTCACATGAGGACCCTTTTAAGGTATCCAATGATGAGGTGTATGTCAACTGCGCCAATGAAATATTTAGGTCAAGAGTTTGACACCCAACATCCCACTGTACAGTATCTTGTTACCCCTGAGCCATAAACATAGGTACTATCAAAACCTTCAACCCTTCACACCTAGCATATCCAGATCCCAACCTTTTGAGGAGGGAGTGAATCCTTGTCATTCACCTTTGCTCTTGAGTTGTGTTAGACAATGGGTTAATGAGTAACATAGGAAACAGGATGATCTTATAAATAGGATAAAATATGGAGCCAATGTCAAATAGTAAGGTCCCTACAATATACTGTACATACACCCATACTGTATTTCTTATCAAGAGACATTCATTATCTAATTTACTTATATCTTTACAGTGTTTAATGGCAAGAGAGCACATCACAACTCTGCCTTGCCAGCAAAGAGGGCATGTTGTTGTCCTATATCTAATGCCCAATTTCCACTTTGTAAAAGTGTGTTGGAGAGAGGAAAGGCATTCAGCCATAAAAATTGGTTCAAATTTGCCTGATGGCAACTAGTGCAACATGCCATAAGGTAATCACTGCTAATTCACATAACATGATGATGAAGATATACAGTAATATAACAAATGAATTGTAGTGAACACATTACATAATATCAAACAGTAAGTGGATCAAGGGAGCAACTTTGAGTACGAGCAAGTGTAATGTGAATAAAGGGTAATTAAGCCTCATCATTCACTCCTGAAGTACTTTTCTGGGAAAAGGTCTTAGAGTTGCTCTTGTGTGTGTTTATGGAAACTAACAGTGGAGGGTGTAGTCTATATGAGGGAAAATAAGACAAAACCTGACTATTCTAACTGAAACAATCTATCTTGATGTAATTGGTTATCACACCACCTAAGGTGTTCTGCAAAGGTCAACAACAGAATGCAACTAAGTACACAATTACTTCAAAGACAAAGATAACATACATCCCCTAACCAGAATAACAAGTCACATGTCCTATAATTGTTTCAGACTATGCCAGTGAACTTCTTTTAAAACCCCTAACTGGTTACTCTCATAGTTAAATACTTATACACACACACAAACACAGTATACTGTACACTGTATACAATGACAATTGGTGTTCCTGAACATTCTAGAAGAATCTGTTTGAGAAAGCCCTCTCCTTTTCTCTCTCTCAGTACTACATGTACTGTATATCATGTGTACATGTACAGTATACCATGTGTACTGTAGTGAAGTAAGTGACGGTGGTCACAAGATATAAAACATATTGGTCAAATTATTAACAAACACTGAGTGAGTGAGTGAGTGTTGTGATTTACTGTGTTTTGTGGGAGTGTTGGTGTTGCCATATAAAACGAGGAATTTTTAGGGGTCATACATATTAAATTTCAAAAATAAATTGCTACTAAAAAGGCTTATCCCAACACATAAGATAAATCTAGTTTAGAAAACACAAAAAATTTGAAATTAAATCAGAAAGTAAAGTGCGGCAGTGCCCCCACACTAGCCATACATCTGTTTCAAGGAATTTAAATGCCTGCGTTGTCCTTTAAATAAGTGAATACAGTATTGTATTCTGTTTACTAACACATTTCAATACAGTATATGGCATACCCTATATACCAAGTGGACAGATGCAATTGTTTTACTGTTTCAAGAATCCTCAATATCTCCAGCTTGGTTTCTATTGTTAACATCTTCAATTATAAGAGAACTTGAAGGATGCTTTGAGGGAACCAACACCAATGACAAAGACAAAATCAGTTTATGAGTAGCAACTATATGATACTGTAAAACAAATATCACATAATAAAAACAAAATTGGCCCCAGGTTCTTGTTGGCATGTGAGATGTTTTCCCCCAATATACACATTACACACGGGAAAGATGAAAAACATGACATGTACAGTACAGTATCAGCATGAGTACAAACCTTAGCCCAGTATAAATAAAACCTTGGTGGTAAAAAGTAAACCAAATTTGTGTGAATTGAGTTCTTGTGAAGTTGACATAAATGGGGGCAAAGTTTCCTGTAGTATTTGTTTCTAATTATTGTTTCAATGTATGATGGTTGTCCTACAACTTTATAAGACCGTTTTCTATAAATAATTAAAAAACTCACTATCTCAGTGATGGCAGTAGATTTGAATTTCATCCATCAGAGTTAGCAAATTCTTTTGACAATTGTCCTCTTTCTGTTAATTAATACAATTTTAAGGATCAACTACACTAATTAATTCATTCATTATGCTTTAAAAGTTTTGAACTTAGTGACACAAGTGTTGGGTGGTGTATTAGCCGGCTCATGATCTGTTTCTTTCATGTTTCAGTGACGATTAAAACTACTGTACCCAACACAATTGGAAGTATTAATTTGGGTAAATAAAAATTGCAGCTTCATTCATTCAAAATCTTTAAACTTTTCAAGGTGAGCATTTAAAATGTTAATAAAGTTCACTCATATACACATCTATGGAAGGATGAATACATGAAAAATTGTATTTACTGTTTTAATACCAACTTGAAATTAGTTATACAGGGTACAGTACTGTAGCTAGTTATAAAGTCATCTGTGGGTGTTGCTGTTTACCCATACATTGGTGTTACTGTTCATCTGTCTGTGGTACCGGTACGGCCAGCATAAAGACAGAACCAGACAATGTGATATAGTCATGGCCAGAATTAGGCTAGGATACAGACACATCTGGCAAGTTAGTGACGCTGTACCCATACCGGATTACTCAGCATGTAAACTTTGTGATAAACCTTTAAAGCATACACTTGAACACTATATTATTGAATGCGACACTGTTAAAGACTTCAGGCAACCTGGCTTATTGTATCATGAACTATGTAAATACTGCATTGAATCAGGGATGCTTGAGGACACTCTTACTGTTTATCCCAAATTTGCTAGCCCATACTGATTAGTCCTCATATAAAACATGACTTCTACTGTATATGAACCACTGCCCTGCATGATAGTGAACAGTGATATCACCCACATGACTTTGACCTATATACTGTATACTGTTAATGAATATGATCTATTTCTTTGTGTATGAATCTCTGTCCTGCATGGCAGTGAGAAGCGATAGCACCCTCAGTGTCAAGACCTGACTGAATTACTCAGGATAGGCAAACTGTACTCCAAGTTTTGCTAATAAATTGGTTAACCGTTAATATATCACACACACACACATGCACGCATGTGCACACAAATGCACACACATGTGCATACACACACACGCATGCATGCACGCAGGCACACACACACACAGGTGGTCTCACTTCATGTTGCCCCAGTCAATGTTGTTTTGTTTTTGTCAATAAAATATATAATTAAAATACTGTACTGTACAATAAGTACCAGTACAGTATAACTAAATTATCTAAATACTGAAAAAAATAATTGGTGCAAAGCTGAATTGATGTGGGAGAATTTGGGCTTACACACACAGTAATTAAGAACAGCATACTGTATATCTATTAACAAAATACAGGTAGCTAAAAGGTGTACCAACTCACCATAGAAGTTTCTGCGTGGGGTTGAGTTTGTACACCTGAGGGTCCCGGTAGTGTCCCTTCGTCACTACTGTGGTATTGATCTGCTTGTGGATATACTTCACGGGTTATTTGCTCCCCTCGACTGGATGAGCTGACTTGAGCTGTGCCCGCGTAGATTGCCGTCCCTGAGACCGAGTATAAAACACCCTCGGAGGCTGCGATGGGACCGTGGTGACTAGCATAAGGCTGGGGTGTGTGGGATGTAATGTCTGGTTGGTGTGGAGGTTCATGTGAGGGAACTAACACCACCTGGGGAGCCGGGTGATCACGAATACTTAAATTTTCACCACGGAGACTAAGATTTTCACCACGGAGACTCAAGTTTTCCCCATTACCAGCTTCAACAGTCACAACCTCCTCCTGGTTCTCTCTCACACCAACATAACTACTCTGTACATTAAATTGTTCTGATTTTTTCCGTTTGGCAACAGGACTAGACTGGGGGTATTTTGACACCTGAAGATGCTGAGGTACCCCAACAGGAGTTGCTGGGGTGGACTGTTGGGGCAGGGGTGGAGGCTGCGGTCTGGGAGGCGATGCTATTCTTTTCACACTCTTATCTACCGGTCTATCAGGT